CCCCAAAACCCCAAAACCCCAAAACCCCAATTATTTGTATATAAATAGAAATACACAGTAATAACCCTTAACTCTAGATGACAAAATCATTTATTATCATTTTTGAATCAAATTTTATCCAATCTTGCCTGTGCCTTCATAATGGAGGCCATCCTTGTAAACCTTAACATATTCTGGCTTTGTATCTAAACCAATTAAATCTTTAGTTGAAGTTATATTTACTTGACACTTGAGGTGGCATCTGATGTCTTCTTGAGATAGTATGGACATTCTTACAATTACCTTAGAGGGTTAGTAAAGACTTACTCTGATACATATATGGAGAGTTAGTACTCTGACCTAGGTTTTGGACTATATGGAAAAATATCAGAATGAAAATCTTTTGAGGAATCCTAGTGATCTGTTCATATAATTAAATCACCACAATATGTAAGTGGTTATGAGAAAAATGAGCTAATTTTCTAATATTCTTAGGTGGTGTTTCCAAGTTAGGTCAACTCTTATGAAAGTTTAGCCTTGCAGCTTTTATCTTACCTGATAACTTGCTAGCTAGATGATTCCGATTCTGAGTCATGTTGTTTTGAAAACTAGATCCTGTATGTTGTATATTTGACAAATTTTTGGAATTCAGAGCTATTTCTGATGCATTTCTTTGCAAGTTCCTCTTATGCCTCATATCCTGTACTATTTTTGTAGCTCTTTCGCTTGGAATTCTATTTTAAATAACTCTGGTTGGTGAATTTGATATCAGTGATCCTAAATTATTAAAGGATTTAGTTACTTATCACAAGGATTATTGTTTGCTTCGATCCGAGTCCTCATAGTTGTTCCAGGAATGAAAAATTTGTTGCCATAAGAAGACTTTCTTTCTTGTGGGATTACCATTTTAGAATCAACAACTTCCTTTCTTGTATCATTATGCCCTTTCCATTTAAAAGGATTACATTGATCTTGTGCAGTACGGTCAGTTAAGCTTCCTCTCATTTGTCGTTTTGATAATAAAGAATGATTAAGTTCTTGTTTGCTCAAAGTATTCATATCATTATTTTAGCTACTAATAATGCAGAAGTCATACCTTTTCATTAAAATCATTAAAATTCTGAGACTTGTCAAAATTAATTTTTGCAATGTTCTCTGCTTGCATTGTTGCTCCCAATCTATCTTCCATATATCCTTTTCTTTCAGTGCCAGCATAAGTTTTTAGGGTTGATTTTGGAGGTTTCTGGAAAGACCCTCCGCCAAGCCTTGTAGGTTCGCTCTTTGTGTGCACATACTTCGTTGGGTACACTTCGTTTTGAATTCCAAAGGGAGATTCACTAAAAATATATATTAAAATTACTCAAAGAACTGCTTGTTAATCGGCTCAGGCTCCTTCTGGAGCCCTTTACCAAACAAATGTTGCTTGTTGTGAGGATCTACTGAAAATCTTCTAGATACTCTAAAAGTATCAAATGACTTCTCAATCAATCTATTAGGGTTCTTCATATCCTCAATTGGAAGGTTATTAGCAACTTCCTCAGACACTGGGATTTGTGAGATAAGGCCCATTTCATAAGCATTTTTAATTGATCTAGAGAAAATAGTCGATAGAGTACTTGTAAATTCCTTTTGTTTGGGCTTCATAAGCTTCTCCCTGATAATGTTGAGCAATTGCCTTACCTCCATGTCTGGCTTATTCCTGTAATAATCTGGATAAAATTCTTTAGGTCCACTTTTCTTAATTCTGAGTTCGAGAGAAGCCTTGTTTTGGAAGTTCGGTCCCTACAATTTATTAGGTATCGGCATTGATCAATCGAATAAGAAATTTCTAAGTAGATAAGCAAGGCTAGAAATCTTTCAGCTCATTGGCTCTTGAGAAGTTACATCGTTACTCAACTTCTATGGAACTTAAGTATTTATTGAATCTTCTCAGTTTCCACAGTTTAGAGCCAAAATCTTGATTTGGTATGGCTCTTACCTTATTTAGGTCTAAGACTTAGGAGAAGCATCCAAGGGTTTGGAATAGCTAGTCCTTAAGCTCTTGGAAGGATTGTTCATTCCTGCATTATGATTTCCTTTGTAATGCATTGAATTTGCATTCTGGATTGTTTAATACTTAAGAATGACGAAAATGACAAATCTCAATTCAGATATAGCTTACCTTAATCATATTTCTTGATTTCTGTAATGCAAAATTTTCTTTCCTCATCTTGGTGGTTGAATAAAATATATCAATTATATTGAGGTAATAAGGGGTTTTGGGGTTTTGGGGTTTTGGGG